CCTCCCCCGCCGCGCAGCGTCGCCGCCGGGAAGTTTGCGCAGCTGGCGCGGACGCGGGCGCGGAGCCGGCGCCGACCGGACCGGAGCCGAGTGGAGCGCGGAGCGGCGCCGCGCGGTGAGCACCTGTCCGCGGCCGGAGGCGACGGGGCGGCAGACGGCGGGGCGGGCGCGGCAGGGGCCGGCGAGACGGGGAGTGGGGAGCCGGCGGGAGCCTGGCGCTGCGCGGACGGGCTGGGGGCCGCGTGTCGCCGTCCTCACCCCGTCGGAACCTCCGTTCCCAACCCTGCCGTGTGCCCTCCTGGCTCGGACGGGCGCCCGGTCCTGCACGTCGGGCAGACTTGGGGGCTCAGCCCCTCCCCCATCCTCACGTCCCCGGGAGCGCGGCCTCGGCAGGCGGTGTCGGTGGCCGCCCGGCGCTGTCCTGCCGCCACAGTCCGCGCGCGTCGCTCCTGCCTCCCGCCGCCCCTGCCCATGGGCACGCAGGCGGCCGCGGGTGCGCCCGAGGCGCCTACTCCCCGCGCCGACGGGCCCCTGCGCCCCCCAGTAGTACCCGAGGTTGCTCGGGCTGGGATGAGGGGTGTCTGCGCCCCGCCTGGCCGGCTCTTTTTCCGCGGCCCACACTTGTGACTTTGACCCGCAGCGAGCGAGCGCTGGCCACTGCCCTGCCCTGCTCTGGCCTCTCCAGCGCCCCCGTCCCTCTGCTGCTGGGGTTTATGCCCCGACCCCAACCCACTGACCCCTGACCTGTCGGTGCCCGCATCCTCCGAGGACCGGCTGGCCGGGCTGTTTTTCCGTCCGCCGGTGTTGGGGGCATGAGGGTTGGGGGTCGGAGCGCACCCTGGCCCGCATCCCAGGCCTGCCCCGCCCCCACGGGGGGAGGACGCAGGAATCAGGCTTTGTCAACAGCCTGTGGCCACGATCCACCCGGGGCCCTGACCTTCCACTGCCTTTTCTGTTTTCACGTAAACAGCCCCCCTCCCACCCCATAACCCTCAGGGGCTCCCCAAAGTGTCTGGGAGGCCCCTTCCCCACTCGGATCTGGGGTGTGCTTGGGGAGCCCCACCGCTACCTGCCTTGGCCAATAGTCCATCCACCTGTCCTGGGGGCCCCTGCCCAGCTCCAGGTCTGTGCGGTCCCTCAGCCAGACCCAGGGGAAACTGGTGGGGCGCGGCCCAGCCTCAAGCACCTGAGTCACAGGTTCTGCCAGGGCCAGCACAGGCGTCAGCTCAGCAAGCGACCCTCCCGCGACAGGCCAGGTGGCCCCAAGCCCCAATGCCTGGTGCGGTCCGTGTGGCCGGGCATCGCTCTGGGCAGAGAATAGAGAGGAGGGGTGTGTGGCAGGCGGCCCTCGCGGAGGCCCAATCCTTGGGGCCCACAAGGCAGCTCCGACACCCGGTCCCTGAAGCTGTGGTGGGGGAGGGTGGTAAGGTGGAAAGAGGCCAGGCCTGGTGCTGCGGCCAGCGGAGCCGGAGTGGCACCTGCACTTCCGCTGCCTCCCATCCCGGGGCCGCAGTCACCCACTCAGCAAATACCTATCCTGGGCCAAGGGGCGCCTCTGGGGGCCAGTGTCCCCCGTGGGGAGGCTGGACACAGTGAACAGATCATCACTTCTTCCCTTAGGGTGGCAAAGCCCTCTCTCCCGCAAGTGGGTTCAGTCCTCAGTGACAGGGCCTTGGGGATCCCCACTGGGAAGCTCAGTTATTTGCCCCTGGTCCCGGGGTCAGAACTGGGGCTCCGCCATGCGTGCCCTCTTCTGTGGGTGCTCCAGACAGGGATCCCAGAACCTCCATCTTGCACACGGTTGGAAATCAGCTGCCCCAGACCTACCCCCTGTTCAGAGAAGTGTCTAGAAATCTCCTTGCCCACACTCACCTACTGCGCACAAGGGACAGAGGGCTCCCTGCTTCCTCCATGCCCAGAGACCCCTTGGGGAGCCACCCTCATGACCTCCCAAGGGACCTGGGGCGAGGGGTGTCCTGACTGTGCCCACCTGTGTGCGCTGGGCTGTGTGGAAGCTCCCAGCTGCCCTGCTGGGGGGCACAGAAAGTCCCCCTCCCTCCTCCTCCTCACACCTGTGCCCGGATGCCACGAAGGAGGGGCCCAGGGCAGCCCATCCTCCCTTCCCGCTGCCCCTGGGCCCTTCTCTCCGGGGTCCCCAGACTGACTGGGTCTCCAGCTGCAAGGCAGGCCCAGTGTGGCAGCCCTGGCGAGTGTGTCCCCCCATCTCTTCTCCTAACGGCCCTGGGGCCAGCGAGGCCAGCATCAAAGGCTCCCATTCCCGACAGAGATGTCGAGCTAGGCCGAGCTCGCATCCCCCCAGCCCTGGCTGCAGGCCCTGGGCAGAGAGCCGCTATCGGCCAGTGTCCTTCCTCCCCAGGTCCCCGCCTGCATCTGCACTGTCCACCCTGCTCTGTCCACCCACTGCCCCTCCTCCTCCAGGGCCTCTGGGGGGTGCAGCAGCCCCTCTGGGGGAGGCTGAGCATTGCTGCTCCTCCCCCAGCCCAGCCCCTGGCCTGAGCCTTGAGGACAGCGCAGCAGATGGGGCTGTTTGATCACAAAGATAAGGCCCCTTGGGTGACCC